ACATTTACCGCCTTCTGCTCGCTTCGTCTGTATGGTCGCTGCCGACTGTCAATCAAGCCAGCCACGCCCCTTGCTCCGCAAAATTTGGACGATTTTTTAAAAATTCAGTATTGATTTATTTTCAGATTGGCCACCTGATCTCTGGACTTGACCATGAAAACTACTAAGAAAAAATCCTGAGCTGTAGGAATGCGGTATTTCGTGATCTATGATCACTTCTTTTCTAATTCATTTCTATGAGAGCCAGGGCTTTTTGGAGCCAGCAGCTAGTGGACGTAGTGATACTGCAGATTTTTGTGATATTGGCCGGGTTGGCTTCATTTTTCAGGGCCGGTTGCTATGTCCATCTTTTATACAGTCTATGGTTGAATCGTGGCACAGCGTGGACTTGTTTGAGAGTCTTTTGATAACCTGCAGGGGGCAGGTTTTTTTTTTCCAAATCATTATCCTCCTTTGTTGTTCCTGCAAAGACACTTTAATTCCAGTAATCTGCACTAAGACTTGAAAACAAATATTTGAACCTGATTGTGGTTCAATGAAAAGTCACAGGCTCAGGGATCACAACAGGAAGAATCTACTGTCAGTGATGACTATTCGTAGTAAATAATGTCTCATCAACTTGACAAGTGTCTTATTCTGACTATTCAGGTGTATTGATTGCATATTAAAATTAGTGGTTTTAGACCTGCTTATTTAAATATGTGGTTGTATTTATTAGAAAATGGCTGTTGAACAAAAACAAAAATGCACAGACTTTGATTGAAGCATGTATGAACGCATATCTTCATTAAAAGTAGCTGAGAGTTGGTATTTCTCTGTAATTATAACTTCTGCAGCAGCTCATAAATCTGACTTGCAGAACAGGATGTTGTGTTTGACATCACAGTTGCGTAACCGGCTCAGATGGTGGAGAAGAATGATTTCAGGTTGTTTCTTCTTCAAAAGGCCTCAGCTGCTGCACACTCGGCTCTGTTTGCTCACCATGTTTGCAGCTCCTGAGCTCGTTAAGACGGTATAATTACTGACAGTAAGAGATGGAGTAGATTAGGAGCTAAGAGCTGTGATGGCAAAGAAATGAAGCTAATATCTGTTATCTGGTTGATCTTTAAATGACATTTCACCCTCTGAACCCCAAAACCCACCGCTGGGTTTGAAAGGCATGTTGTCTTTAAACAAATCACCAAAATTACACCATTTATCAGAGCCAGAAACTCTGAAAACAAATGGAATTTATAACTTTCCAATGGTCCTTGAAGGGATCATGTGTGACGTGTGGTTCCATCAAGAAAAAGAAACAAATCTAAGCTGAATTTTGTGATATTTTATCAAAACCATTGACATTTTTTTTNCCGGTCACACACAGTTCATGAGGTGGGAGTCTGGTGAAAAGATGAGGTTTTCTGTGCAGACGTGGTGCAGTGACTGGTGGTTTTTATTGAAGTTTATATACGTATGCGCAAGTAGAAGGTTTGTTCTAATGATAACATTAAAATCCATCCATCCATCATTTATACACCGCTTAATCCTCACTAGGGTCATGGGGGGCTGGAGTCTATCCCAGCTGACTCAGGGTGAAGGCAGGGGACACCCTGGACAGGTCACCAGTCTATCACAGGGCTACACTTAGAGACAGACAACCAAGCACACTCACATTCACATTCAGTTTGGACAAAAAAAGCATTGGAAAGGCATCACCGTGAAGTATTTTTTCACTGTTTTGGTATTTTTTTACAAAACAAAGAATCAATGAAATTCAACTGATTTCAAATCTTATATAAACGCTGAATACACTGAGGTACATTATTACATTATTACAAAATAACCAAGTGAAAAAATATAAGCGGTGGAGCAAAGTTAGTAAACAAAATCTAAATTTTGAAAATGAAAACAATATTAATTAGAGCATTTAAACTAATCTACTCAACTAATGTTAATGAAACAGCAGCAGAATAATGGCATTATTCTGAATTTAGTACTTTTGCTTTTACTACTTAAATATATATTTTTATGGTATCTGTGTGAATTAAATATGTTTACAGTGTTTACTTAAATATATACACTTTTCTTAACTCCTCCTTGTGTGATTCCTCTCCACTGAAGTAATTTTTTTTTTTTTTCAATGCATTTATTTGGATAACAAACCCTCTTCACACAATTGGAAAATGTAAAATTACACCTCAGCTTGACTCTGTAGCATTTGTTTCTCCTTTTCCGTGTGTCCAGGAAGCAGGTATTTATAGTAGCCTCCTGTGTGTCCTGCTTCTGTCAATAGAAAAGCCAACATGTTGGTGTCGGTGCTGGTGGACGTGGCTCTCGGCGTTCTGCTCATGTGGTGGCTCTACAGAGACGAGCACATCGCCATGTTGGCCAACACTCTGGTTCCTGCAGCTGATGTGAGTAAACTGTGTTTTATCTGTGTACGTGGTTGGTTTAAGTCCCCATACATTTGTAATCGCTGAGAAAGCGTTTTTATGTCATTTTTTTGTCACATATTTAGTGATATCTGACAAAAAAAGTTTGTTTAGCATCATTGTTCTTAATCATTTTACTACAAAAACAAGCAAACCAAATAATGAATGATTTGGGGAAACATCTTATTGCAGTTTTTCTTACAGATTTTGTCATTTATTTACATTATATGTTTAAAAGCCACAGATTTAAAGCATGTGATGGAGTGTTGACGCCATCAGATGCCATCAAAAACATGACTGGTACATTAAAAGGCAGCGTGAATTTGTTTACGATGTATAAAGTAAAAGGCCAAAGATCACGTATATCACGGTAACATCAGTCCTGAGTTTCCAATGATTTCTATAACTCTGAATTTTCTATGGTCGAATCTTTGAAACGCATGTATCTTTATCTCAAAAAAACAATCGTGCTTTTTAATGTTTCATAGATTTATTAAAGGTCTTTGGATATATGACAAAATCTGCTGCGTCAAAAATGTTCATACAGTGAAGCTAATGTTTAGTTAAAGTCCCCATGGAATCAAATTTGCTGTAAAAAAATTTCTGCAAAGTGGCTCGGTGGTTAGCACCGTTGCCTCGCAGCTAGAAGGTCGCTAGTTCACATCCCAGTGAGGACACCTGGGATCTTTCTGCGTGGAGTTTGCATGTTCTGCGTGGGTTCTCTCAGGGTTCTCCGGCTTCCTCCCACAAGGTCCAAAAACAGCAATACATACAGCGGTGCTAATATTTGGCTAAACATCTCTTGTGTATATTCTCAAAGACATTTTGGTCACTTTAGTTCAAAGAAATGAAACAAAAACCTGTTTTCTTCTACTTGTCTGCTTCTTCTAACTCATAAAACGCTTCTGTTCCATCGAGCTTCATTACAAACAGATATCGTCATGTCATTTGCTGAGCAGATTCAGCATCGGGGTAATTTCAGATGTCTTTTGCTCTGTTTCCTCCTCAGCATGTGGCTAAAGAGCTGGAGCAGCTGCTGCAGTGGCTGATGGGAGCTCCAGCGGGGCTGAAGATGAACCGGGCTCTGGACCAGGTTCTGGGTCGCTTCTTCCTTTATCACATCCACCTCTGGATCAGTGAGTCACAGCACAGAACAGGTTTTAACTTGTGTTTGGATCTTATATCTGGGGGTTTTCACACTAAAATGCCTCCTCCAGGTTACATCCACCTGATGTCTCCATTCATCGAGGGCATCCTGTGGTACGGAGGGCTGTCGGCCTGCCTCGGCCTCACCTTCGCCCTCTCTCTGCTCTCTGACATGGTCGCTCTGTTCACCTTCCACATCTACTGCTTCTACGTCTATGGAGCCAGGTACTAATTATTCATGTCCAGCTACTATAAATGACAACTTTATGCATTTTAATACTCAGTTTAGGTGAAGCTTCTGTGAAAACTGAGCCTCGCTGTGCTGAGTTGCAGTTTCAGACTTTCCTTTTTGTGTGCAGGCCAGAGCTTCAGAATCAGCTGTTTTTTTAGTCTGCAGTATCTTTAGTGTATTTAATGAAGCCATGCAAAGTTTTACCTTCATACTTTGAATATTTTTAGAGTTACAGGCCCAAATTTCACACTTTTTAATGGACCTTTTCCATCATTTCTGAGCCTCATAACTTCATCTGTGTGTAGAGTTGAATCCATAGACTATAAAAGATGGACGTCACCCGTTGGTTTCTGCACTGAGAAAGTGAAGCCAGGGTTTTGCTACTTCCTGGTTGACATCTTGGATTTTTGGAGCCAGTTACGCAAAAATCGTCGGAGGGGGGCGGAGCCATAGGAGCAGCGATTGGTCAGACGGATTGAGAGGCGGGCCCTCTCTGCCCGCCCACATTTACCGCCTTCTGCTCGCTTCGTCTGTATGGTCACTGCCGACTGTCAATTAAACCAGCCACGCCCCTTGCCCCGCAAAATTTGGACGATTTTTTAAAAATTCAGTATTGATTTGTTTTCAGATTGGCCACCTGATCTCTGGACTTGACCATGAAAACTAATTTTAAAAATAATCCTGAGCTGTAGGAATGCGGTGTTTCGTGATCTGTGATCACTTCTTTTCTAATTCATTTCTATGGGAGCCAGGGCTTTTTGGAGCCAGCAGCTAGTGGACGTAGTGATACTGCAGGTTTTTGTGATATTGGCCGGGTTGGCTTCATTTTTCAGGGCCGGTTGCTACGTCCATCTTTTATACAGTCTATGGTTGAATCGTGGCACAGCGTGGACTTGTTTGAGAGTCTTTTGATAACCTGCAGGGGGCAGGTTTTTTTT